TTTTGTGTTTTTATGGTTTTAATTGTTGTGATATTGTTTGCTGTCCAGAGTCAAGTGGATTGAGATGAATAAATGTACACCTGAAACAAGCCTGTTCTCACACAGCTGCTATGGTACCCACTCCCCCACAATCAATATGCCAAAAAAGAGAGCTATTGCGCTTTCCTTCTCCCCACTCCCATGCGGTGTCCTAGTATGGAGGATCCAAGAAACATCCCAATATTTTGTTTTATATTCTTTTTATTGATAAATTGTACGTTGAAAACTAACACTACATTAATGTATTCTTTTTGGAATGTGGTTTTAAGTTTCAATTTCTTTTGTATTTTAGATTTTCAGGTAAAAATCCCAGGAATTTAGGTAACAATACAAAACTTATAGAATGGTTACCACAAAATGATTTATTAGGTAAGTATTGTTGGAAGTTATTGTTTAAAGTTACCCTCTTGTACCTTACCTGTTTTTTAATACTAGACTTACAGGTAGTACTCAATGTACAACCACAATTGAACCCCAAATTTCTGTTGCTAAGTGGGACAGTTGTTAAGTGAGTTTTGCCCATTTTATAACCTTTCTTGCCACAGTTGTTAAGTGAATCACTGCATTTGTCATGTTAGTAACACACTTAAGTGAATCTGGCTTCCCCACTGACTTTGCTTGTCAGAAGATCACAAAAGGTAATTACTTGATTCCAGGACACTGTAGCCGTCATACGTGTAAGCCAGTTGTCAAGCATTCGGATTTTGATCATGTGACCATAGGAATGCTGCAACAGTCACAAATGTGGAAGTGGTCATAAGTCACTTTTTCCAGTCCCATTGTAACTTTGAACAGTCACTAAATGAATGGTTGTAAGTCAAGGACTACCTGTATTTTAATCTAAATCTGTATAGGCAGGGCTTTTTTTGTCATAGAGCGCCCAGAACAGAGTTCTGGCACCTTTTTTGGATGGAACCTTGTAGGGTAGGCAAGGCGGGTTGTATGACGTGTGAGTTCCGGCACCTTTATTTTTTACAAAAAAAGCACTGTTTATAGGAATATCATTAATATGGATAATTAGACAGCTGACCATTTCTACTAGCTTTAGATTAGAGCTGAAATGGGTTTTTTGTATCAACATCTACAAAACACATTACTCAGAGGTAATGTGTGAGGTAGATGGGAATGAAATCACAAATGTCTTGAGCCAGATTATTCTCTCTGATGTAGCCTTTTTCCCACTTCACTTCCTGACGCCCATTTCTGTGTTTCAAGCAACAGACTACCAGGAAGAAAGAAGTAATTCTTTCTAGAGGTCTCAAGTGATCTTTTTCAGAAAGCTTTTGAAATTCAGGTTACATGAAATGAAGCCAAATTGCAGGTTGCTACAAATTAAACTGTCTATTTTTTATGATAGACAATAAACACAAATTACATTTGAAATACTGTATCAATTGAACATTCAAAAGACCTATAGATTTTTATGCAGCATATTCATATTGAAGTACAGGTAGTCTTTATTTAGAACTGCCTCATATAGTGACTATTATAGTGAGTGTTTGCAAATTTGATAGTAACAAAGGATTCATTTTCTGACCAGTGCACACATTTACAACATCAAAAGCCTTCTGTGTAAAACTGATTAAGGGCTAGTCAATTTCAGACAGCAGCTATAAATGTTCTAATCAACTAATTAAGGTCACAGAGCTTAGCTTGTTTAAGCAATCTGTACCATGGGAGTGTGCAAAGAAAGGATCAGGCACAGGACATTGTATGATAAAACTTTATCTGAATAAAATGGCAGCAATCAGCAATTTTCAGCCTCTCTCCCTTTCTAAATTACATGAATCTCTTAGTTAGCAACCATGACATTTAGTGACCTTTTTGCCAGAACTAACTGCAATCACTGAATGAAGATTACCTGTATTATAGGAGAACTAATATCTAGTCTCTTAAATATTTAAGATGATGTACACATATGTTAGCCACCCAAATAGACCAGACAGGAAACACAACCAGATGGGCTAATTCTGTTTTATTGTAGGGCTATATTTACAGAATCTGCAAATCTAAAAGTATAAAGCTCCTGCTGTCACTTTGTACAGCCTGATAAATTAAAGCAAATCCTTTCTAAGTTTCTTTCTCTTTCTATTATTCAGATGTGGGCACCCTTCTCCCCTTATCTGATCATTCCCTAGACAGCATCTCTTTTCATGAACTGAGCTCATTCTCACATTCTATTACATCATCTTAGGAAGTTTTGTCATCACCCTGGCAATAAAAGTTGTTGAGTACTATATGTATATTATGTTAGTTATAGATTCTGCCTTTCCTCCAGAAGCTCAAGGCAGTGTATATACTACTCATTTAATTTTCCTCCACAACCCTATGAGATAGTTACATTGAGACAGCGATAGGTGAAAAGACACCTAATGAACCTCCATGGCTGAGGTGAACATGAACCTGGATCTTCCTAATCCTAGTCTAACAAATTAATTTTTAATTTAAAAAAATAGTTTAACTATTAACATGAAAGCAATCCTTCTGGAGAAATAGCATTTAAGAATTCACATTTCTTCTTAAATTTATTCTCAGGTTTAGATAAATAAAACGTCTGATTGTAAAAATATATTCCTTGAGTTTGCATGTAGTATTAATATAAATTACTAGAATGAAAAATACTTCTTTTGGTTGCAAATAATGCTTGCAAGATTGTTAAATTCAAATATATTAATGCTATTTATTAAGATAGTATCTTAAGCAGAATGGGTTTTTTGTGCAATATATATTATTGTCAACTCTATCATCATTAAGAAAGTGAAGCCATTTTTGTCAGTTTGTTTTTGATCTCATTTGTAGTCTAACAAAATGAGTACAGTTATTTAATTTTCTGTGTCCTATCTATGGTAACTGCGGTGAGAAATTCCATGTGTGCTTACCATCTGTAAGAAAAAAAAGTCAAAGGAATCTGAGTGGGCTTCTTATTCCAGTATTACATTTATTGCACATACCAATTTTAGATGCATGGGTTTTGTTCTCTATTATGATTAAACACTTTTGTTTCCTGTACCTTACCTTTTGCTGCTGTAGGTGACTCTAATATTAAGGCCTTCCTTAGTCATGGTGGTCTGAACAGCATTTTTGAAACCATGTACCATGGTGTTCCTGTGGTGGGAATCCCTCTTTTTGGAGATCATTATGACACCATGACTCGAGTGCAGGCCAAGGGCATGGGTATACTACTAAACTGGAAGACTCTTACGGAGGATGAGTTATATAATGCACTGGTGAAAGTTATCAATGATCCCAGGTAAGAATTGTCTTTTCTTTAAAAAAAAAAAAAAAGCTTGTTAAATTTTTAGTAAAATAAAAGTTTATAAAGAACTTACACTAATTATATCGTCCTAGCCATCTAGCATACGGGTAGTTCTCGATTTACAACAATTTGTTTAATGGAGGTCTGGAATTATGATGGTATTGGAAAGGGTGTTTTATGATTTGTAAAGTACTGTCTAACTGTCACAAAATGTTACATCGCCGCTCCTGTAATCACGTGATCGCGATTTAGGAGCTTAGCAACCTATTTGTACTCATGACTGGTTACTAAGCACTCCACAATCATGTGCCATTTGCAGTGTTCTCTATCAGCTTTTCCAGAAAATCAGTGGGGAAGCTGGCACGGAAGGTTGCAAGTTGATGCTGCCTGCTGAGTAGATTTTGGCAGGGAAAAATTTCAGCTCGTGAATGGAGAAGCAGAGCAGTAAGAAAAGAGTGTCGGGTGCCTCAGGGGAGTGGGGGAGACCCTGGGAGGATAGGTACAGGCAACTTGGAAGTATCTCCCCATTCAGGGTTAGGGTTAGGGAGGATTTCAGCTCCTGAGTGGAGTCTCCCAGAATCTCCGTCTCCCCCTTAGTCACCCATGCTCCTTATCTGAGGTTCTGTTTTCTCAGTGACTTGTGAGATTGCTTAATGACTACAACTGGGAATACCAAGATTGCAATTGCTCAGTAAGCAATCATGGAATATCTCATTGAATGACTGCTTTGCTGAACAACCAAGATTACAGTCCCAACTGTGGTCATAGGTTGAGGATTACCTGTATAATAAATTAAGTTTAATTATTATAAAATAATATGGGAATGTTAGAACTGAAAATGCAGCAATGTTCTCGTTATTTTATTATTATTTCATAGCTACAGGCGACAGGCCCGGAAGCTGTCTGAAATCCATAAAGACCAACCAGCTCATCCTGTTAATCGAACAGTCTACTGGATTAATTACATCCTTCATCATAATGGAGCACAGCATTTACGTTCTGCAGTTTACACTGTCTCTTTATATCAGTATTTCTTATTGGATATTGCCTTTGTTGTGCTGCTGGGTACTGCCTTACTCTGCTACATTTTGGCCAGGATAGCAAAATTTATTTGCAAGCAAAGCAAACATTTTTGGTCCACTGATGAACATATTACTATCAATGGACATTACCAAAATGGGATACCAAACGGCAAGTATAGAAGAAATGGTCACATTAAACATGAAAAAAAGGTGAAATGAGCCAACTACTCAATGTACATTAGCAACGAATCAGTACTATAATTAAATTTTATAGCTGTAACATAGTCTAACACCTACTTAAAGTAAAACAATAAACAGTTCTAATGCTCCCCTACAGTATGTAATCTTATGCAATTAAATTCTGCAGAACTAAGAAAAATCTTTAGAAAAATGAAGCACAACCTAAAATACAAAATGTATTTTATTCTTAATACTGATGGAGAAAGGTCATTCTGGCACTGAAGTTTTCTAGAAGCCTTAATTCTCTGATGTAATTCATTAGTTATATTCATGTCTGCTCAATTTGTGAATAATATGTGTGTCTCAAAAAAGGAATGGTTTCCTTTTACTTACAAAGGTTCTTCCTTTTTTCATGCACATTTATATTTTAGCAAAGAAATCTTGGTTCTATTTATCTAAGGTTTAATTTGTTATCTGACAATGATGTTAATTAAAGTCATCTTTCACAGTGTTCAGTACATAGCAATAAACAAACTAGAATTATAATGCAGCCATAAAAATCATATTCTTAAAAGGCATTGAAGAATATGATGATACACCATAGTTTTGATATACTACATAATTTTTCCATTTTCTTCCATTTCTTTAAAGAAAAGGAAATTGCACAAGAGTACCATAAGGTGTAATTTTATATTTATGTAAATTTTAGTTATGTTCCTTACCTTTCCCTAGATTCGTCATTTATGCCATAGTAAGGTTGTTCTCTTTCAATAACTACAAGGGCTATGTGGATATAATAAATCAATATAAAAATAAATGAAGCAGAGAGAGAAATATTCTGCACTGCTCTTTGGAAAAGGATTGTTCTTGTCCCTTCAGCAATGCAGAATCAAACCATTTCTGGTTTGTTATAAAGTTGAATGTCTTAACTATTATATTACTACAATTAAGTTTTTATCTCCCCAAACCATAATGGTTCAGAGGTTCACTTAGTTCTATCTATAATCTTTAGAGTAATCTGGTCCATGTAATCCATGTTATTTAGTTGCCAACATCATTTATTTGAATCTAAAGGAGGTTATCTTTTGGTCAGTTAGACTGTTTTTGTAGAGGTTTGATATCATGCATGACGTTAAACCTATAAACTAGTTAAACTCTGTGCCTCTGCCTACATTCGTAGCATTATTTTTCTGGACAATGCTTTTTCAATCACTGCAACCAATATAGGTATCTGTTTTTAAACAGAGAATGGGAATACAGGGCATTAAAAATATTAGGACTGTCCCGTTAAACCAGTGTTGGCAACTATATGTTTATTAAATTTCCTTGTCATCCTGTTTACTTGGAATTTGCACTGCACATGTTGTGGGTGTATACTTTATTTATTTGCAGTTTGAAATCCCATGTCTGACAGCTAGGAATAAAAACAAAAGCAAATCTAAACTGTGTATTCACTAACATGGGAAAAGTTCTTAAAAACTGTAGACTAAAATCATTTTCATACACAGTGACATGATGCTTCATTACCATCCCATCAGGAGCCTCTATATTATAGCAATAAAGTAGAAACTGCAGATGCATTTCTAAAATTTAGTACAGGCATTTTTACTTTCCAGATACTTGAAGAGTGTGGTGTTATTAATATGCCTATAGCTTTATCTTTTTACAATCCTATCAATATGTGGCAACTGAGGGAACACAAAGAGGCAATGAGAGGTGGGAGAATGACAGAACCAAGAGTGTATGAATGAGTTAGTTTTAATGTTTTTGTATTGAAGAAAGTACACAAACACTGACCGGATGATTAAGAACAATTTAATCTCCACTGTGATAAAATTTAAGCAATAAACATGGATTTAATACAGAAAAAAGTTGTTGAAAGTATATCTTTATTCAAATATATTGTTGTATGTGTAATTAGAGCTGCACGTACTGTCTGTATATATGAATAATATATATTGTCCTAGACTTTTTCTCAGAAAATGAGAGGAGTGTATACTTGTTTAGTATATGCATTCAGTGTCGTTTTATGAAATATTTAATGTATTTAACAATTTGCCAGAAACATTTTCAAATAACATCCATGGTTATCACCCATATTGCTCTCTTCCTTAGCCCCATTCCAATTATCTTCAATTCCTTTATGTTCCTTCAATGTAAACATATTGGATGATAATTTTTAAGAATGATAAAATATCTGTAGGGATCTCTGTTTTAAATAATGCAACGCTTTGTAGAAAGCTTTTTGCCATCGTATTTTTCAGATCTGGCTATTACATATCAAGGGTTTATTTAGCTTATTTTGTTAAGTGCCTTATCAAATGTTGCTATATCTTACAGCATTTTTAACTTTCAGAATAGCCCAGGAAGTAGTTTAGGCTGAAACATAGTGGTCTGCCCAAAACTAGCTCCAGAGCTTCATGAGTGAGGAGGAAATTGAATCAAGTCCCTCATATCCAGGTTTATAAAATGCATTTCATTGCCTTGTATGTTTTGGTAATTAAAATAAATAGTTATCTTTGAGCTTGCAAGCTAAAGATTCTTTGACATATTTTCATACCCCAGTTTTAAATAATCAAAATACATTTTGGCATTTGATAATCCTTACGTGGTAAATATGCAGACATATTAAATAGACAGTTATCTTTTTTTAGCTCTAAAATAGGAAAGGTACTAAGAATTTTGCATCTAGTAATACTGTTTTGTGTGGCGGCAAAAAATGAACCCAAGAACATGTTTCTAAAGCAGTTCATAGAGATCAATAGATTCAGTGGAATTATAATATTTATCAATGTACTAATTAGATATAAAATCAATCTTCACTAATCTTGACTTTCAGTTTAAAATTAGCACTGAATATTAAAATAACAAAATTCTGAAGACCTTAAGCTGAAGAAAACATGAGATATATTTGTTAATTCAAATTGTTACTTTTTCTTGTATTTATCATGATGATATCTTCAGTTTACTGCCAATCAGATTTATAAAGTTAGTATTTTGCTTGAATACCAAAGATTATGCTGGACATTTTTATTCAGTTAATTAAAACCTAGTTATCTGACCACTTTTGAAGGTACTTATAATGACTAAGTACAGTATAGAAGATGTTTAGATAAATAGGAATTCCATTTACACTATTTTATTATTAGCTCAGTAAAGATGTCAATATTTGTGAATTCAGAATGTATTCAGAAGTTAGTATTTGGAGATGAAATATGTTTAAAAATGACAACACATACAACAATGCATATTTAAATGAAAATATTTGTATTTTTTTAAACAGATCAATAAAGAAACAGATTATAATCAAAGTATGAAATAATGCATGCAAAGTTACATGAATCACATAAACAATGAAGAACATTTGTATCTTGAAGTATGTTTCACTTTAATTATTTAGCAAAGGGTCAAATTACAAATGTGTTTAAACACATAGATACATATACTGTACACACACACACACACACACATGCTAGGGAGAGATTGGTATGTAGCATTTTAACATTTAAAACAAAAAACCCTTTCATAGCTCTACTGGCTCAGAAAAAATACAAAGCAGAAGTGGAAAAGGACAGACAATATAATCTGATGATACAAAAATAATGGTATGTACATCACAATATCACAAAATTAACCTTGATATTTTACAATTGTATCCTGATATCCAGTTGAAATACATAAGTGGTTTGTGTCATGATGTATGTTTTGTTACTACACATGATAGCATAGGACACTACATTATTCCTAAAACGAATGATAAAGAAGATGTATACCTCTCACATAGAGCATTATCACAACACTGATAATCTGAACTTTTGTATTTGGCCTGGATTGGGATTAAAGTAAAGAGGTTAGCCTTTGATTCCTGTGTGATGGCCCAATGAAAATTGCTTCCCACTGTTCAAATTGCTACCATGTTTCCCTGAAAGTAAGGCCTACCCCGAAAATAAGCCCTAGCTTGATTTTTGGGAGTGGGCCTAATATAAGCCCAACCCAAAAATAAGCCCTAATTTTGGGACAAGGCGCATGCTTAAAAATCAAGCTAGGGTGGCGGTGTGGAACTGCCCCACGCGCTTCACACCTGCTTACCTTGCAGCCAGGCCTCTCCTCACTGGCCCACTTCTTCTGTGGCGTCTTCTGCATTTCTCAGTCACAGGCCTCTTCAAAAGGCCACTGCCTTAAATCTATAGCTCAGTACTTGGCTGCAGAGGCCTTCCGGAAAGGTCTGACTGCAAAATGCAGGCTGGAATGCAGCTGCAGAATGAAGCTGCTCCTTCAGCCCCAGAAGAAGTGGACCTGCTGAGCGGGGCTGTCAGTGCCGGAGGTGAGTAAGGCATCCCCCGAAAATAAGACCTGGTACCTCTTTTGGAGGCAAAAAAAATTAAAAATAAAATAAGACCTGGTCTTATTTTCAGGGAAACATGGGTATCTATCTCTGGAGAAAATCTTTCATTGACACCAATCACAGTTTTGTTCATTGGAAATAGCAGATTGTTTAATGGAGAGAATAGTAAGATTTATTTGAAAGATAGGAAAAAAAAGGATTAAAATAGCATGCATATGTTGCTATTAAATCCCGAGGCTAATTTTTTCAAAATGCAATTTCAAGATGCATGTCATGTGAAGTTGGGCCCACAGTTGGGGGCATTTAAAGTGTCAAGAAATTTGTCTAGCTCTTGACTATGTATATTCATGTAATATGTGAATAGTATTTAAATCTTGAAGATTTCCCCCCACTATTCCCCATCCCAAAGCTTTAGCAGCAGTAGGATGATTGTCCCACTCCATTTTCATTTTATAAGCGGCCTTGTGTAAAATACTTTCATTGATTAGTGCTCTGTCAAGAATATTGTGCAATGTTTTATCAAATATGTCTGTATTTTGTATTCTGGGAATTATTATTCCAAGTTACCTTCGAGCACCACACTGGAAAAGCCTAATGTATTGAAGTCGAACAATGAATTTTTTTTCTGGTGTTTTTATTGTTAATTTCTGACTAACAGAAGTCTTCAAAACCTGGGCTTGCTCAGAAACATGTT